GGGCATATATGTGAGGAATGTTTCCCCAAGTTTGTTTTATGGAACATTAATCCCATGAATTATCTACAGTTAAAGGGTTACAGGAGAACATAGAAAATGGCACACCCCTTGTCCACAATTTGAATAGATCAATCACTGATTTGTATGTAATGGATTTGTGAGAAGGCCTTCATTAAAGAAGTCTGTTTAACTCTATTCCTTGATGCTTCCCATTTTTTAATTCATAGCCCCTTTTTAATGGCATAGCTACTGAACTTCAGGGGATCTTTGGCAAATACTATTTAAGGTGGAATTATGCACAGGACAACTTGTTGGGCTAATAAGAGTTAACTCACACCTGGATCTTTGAGGACAAATATGCATTAAACATTTTCACATCTGAAAACAACCTCATTATTGTTCTTTTAAGAAGAGATAAGCTGCCCTAAGTATGCCTCCTAAAATTATGAGAGGCATATATCTTTTTTTAAATGATAGCAATATGGTTTATTCAGCTGTGCCTTAGTACAGGCAAGGGGCTTGCCATGGTGCTCTTGATGTATAAAGGCCAGATTTTCTGCCAGTTCTTTTTTACCAAAGACACCAGGAAATTGACAGCTATGAGGATGTTGTATACAAGCTCATCATCCGTCATCTTCACATGGCCAATAGCCACTGGCAGACAAAGCAACCTCTTCATCTCGAATTTGATCGTAGATTTCACTTTGTGGACTTTGGCTACCATGTTCTCACTGGGGGTCAACAGGAAGGGAACTTGCCAGCCTTATTCAGGCCTGGGCCTGGGATTACTGGGATCTGTTTGATGAGAGACTCTGAAGCCAAAAAGGCATCATACTTCCTGGCCAGCTTCTTGGATGTCCATGGGAGGTTATTCACAGCCTTGGCCTCATCACAGTGCTGCTGGTCCCCAGAACACATATGGAGAACTTGAGGCGGGAGTGGATTTAAGCCTGACAGTGCCCAAGAAGCATTTGTCCTTCTGAGGGTCATGTTACTTCAAGCTGATCTGCAGCTCCACTCTCTCCAAAAACTTCTCATTCTTGCGCTGGTTCCCATACAGAACTCCACATATCGCCTCCTACAGAGTGTCCTGGGAGACTTTGCTGCTCATGGCTTCTCGAGTGGCAAAAAACAGAAAAAAGAGAGGCATATCTTGAAGTCCTTGCGGGACCATCTTCTCCCCACTTTTGGAAGCTTAGCAGAGAGCTGGCTTAGCAGATCCAACTTTGCTCAAAACAATGAAGCAGATACCAAGCAATAGACAGCAAAGGTTCCTCCTTTCCATTAAGGCCACCTCTCCAAACAGGTAGCCATCACAGGTACAGAGTCACATATACACTCACCTGACTCCATTCCACAAATGTAGGGAACATGCCAGGGGTGGGACATTGAACAGTTTTATTGCAAATATAAATTCTACAAGGGTTACTGGGTTTAGCAAATAAAAACACAAGATGTCGTTATATTTAAATTACTGAGTAACAACAAAGAATTTTTAGTGCAAGTACATTCTATATACTATTTGGATATCTATATATATAAAAGCCTAAGTGACCGTAGCAACCGAAACAACCAAACGGACAACTGAACAGGCTGCATGGGACGACCAGGCCGGCAGGGGCATTAGTGAGGGCTGACCAAACAACTGAGCAGCAGGCGGCGTGGGGCGACCAGGCTGGCAGGGGGGTTAGTGAGGGATGACCACACTACAGGGTAGCAGGCTGCATGGGGCAACCAGGTTGGCAGGGGGGTTAGTGAGGAGCAACCAAATGACTGAGCAGTAGGATGCATGGGGCGACCAGGCTGGCAGCGGGGGCAGTGAGGGGCAACCAAATGACTGAACAGCAGGCTGCGTGGGGCTACCAGTCTGGTAGGGGGGGCAGTTGGGAGTGACCAGGATGGCAGGGGAGGAAATGAGGGGTGACCCAGCTGGCAGAGGGGGGCAGTGAAGGGTGACCAGGCTGGCAGAGGGGCAGTTGGGGGCAACCAGGCTGGCAGGGGAGGCAGTAAGAGGTGATGAGGCTGGCGGGGGAGGCAGTTAGGGGTGACCAGGCTGGTGGTGGGGGGCAGTTGGGAGCAACCTGGCTGACAGGGGGTGCAGTTGAGGGTGACCAGGCCAGCAGTGGGGGCAGTTAGGGGCGATCAGGCAGGCAGGTGAGCAGTTAGGAGCCAGTGGTCCCAGAGTGTGAGAGGGATGTCTGACTGCTGGTTTAGGCCTGATACCTAGGATCGGGCCTAAACTGGCCGTAGAACATCCACCAAGGGGTCCTGGAGTGGAGAGGGTGCAGGCTGGGCTGAGGTGACACATCCCCATGCACAAATTTTTTGCACTGGGCCTCTAGTCCTATCTAATAAAGAGGGAATATGCAAATTGACCATCATGCCATAACGAGATGGCTGCGCCCACAACAGAGGCAGGGATTCCATAACACAAAATGGCTGCACCCACAGTGGAGGCCGAGTTCCTATAACGAGCCTTAACAAGCAATCAGCAGGGGCCTGAGGCTGCGTGGCAGTGGGCTGGGGAAGGGGACCTGAGGCTGTGCCCCCGCCTAGTGGGGCTTGACAGGGGACCTCAGGCCATGCCCCATGCCCCGGAACCAGACTAGGGGACCTGAGGCCACACCGCACGCCCCAGTGCCGGGCCATGGGACCTGAGGCTGCACCGCCCACCCATGGGGCTTGACAAGGGACCTCAGGCCATGCCCCCTGCCCAGCAGGGCTTGATGGGGGACCTCAAGGCACACCTCCCACCCTGGCCTGGGCCAGGGGATCTCAGGCCACGTACCCCACCTGGTGGGGCTTGACAGGGGACCTCAGGCCATGTTCCTTGGCCCAGGCCAGGAAATTTCAAGGCGCACCCCCTGGCCCACACCGGAGGACATCAGGTCGTGCCCCCCGCCCCAGTGCCAGGCCAGGCAACCTGAGGCCACACACCCCCACCTGGTGGGGCTTGACAGGGGTGGGGCCAGCCGGGTCTGGATATCACGCGATTTCAAGGTGCACGTGGGTGGGCAGGGACTTGACTCTGGTTCCTGTGGCGCGCCCCAGACTCTGATAGGAGGAAGATTTTCATATACATTTTACTAATTTTCTTTCATCTCTGACACTTCTATTACAGAGAAAGGGCAAATAGCAATATTAAAATATTTCCTCAAATTAATTCCCTTTTAATGTCCATGAATTTCGTGCACCAGGTCACTAGTCTATATATATAAAAGCCCAGCTACTAGAACAGCGGAACAACCAGAACAAGTGGTCACTATGATGCACACTGCAGTGGCCAACTGGCCCTATCCAGGACCCAGTCACCGCCCCCCCCCAACCTCCTGCGGCCCCTCCCCCCAGCCGGCCCCACCCCTGATAGGCCTCCCCCACCCTGATCAGAGGCGGGGCCAGATGGCCAAGCTCCCATGTCCTCTCCCCCCCCCCCCCACAGGCCCAGCCCCGATGGCACCCATCAGGGTGGGCCCACCAGACCCCACTCATGCACAAGTTTGTGCACTGGGCCATTAGTAGTTATACTAAAATTTATAGACTGTCTGAAATTCAAATTCAACTGGGAATGCTATAGTAATCTGGCAACCATAATCACCACTGGAATGCCAGCATGGTCCCTTTTGCTTAGCCGTAATCATAGAGTGAAGAAAGTCCCAGGGATTGTGTGTACTCTACCATTTCTCAGCTTTTGAGATTTTCCTCAATGAACTCTATTTTATGTCAGTATAGTGTGGCACAGGTGTGCATCTATGATCCTTGCATGACACAAAAGAAGGAACTGACTTATTTTTACCACTGTAATAATCTAGAGTACAATCAAAGACAATCTAACGAAGAGAAAATATTCCTGAACTCTGACAGTTATATGTCCATGGACAAGTTTATGTATCCTTTAGGCTTTGGTTGTCCTAACACCAATAGCCCCTACAGCACTAACAGTTTACAATTTCATGATTCTAAGCAAAGTTTGCCTTGTTCTTGATGACTAACCGGAGGTCATGCTTTTATATTTTAGAAGCAGAGGAAACAAACTCAAAAGTTAAAGAAAACTAAGGGAGTCGCTAAAAGATAAACCTTATATTGATAAAAATTCACTTGCTTCAAAAGAAATGTTACCTTCAGGCTAAAAAGGCACCTTAAATATTTCAGCAACAATAGCTGTTATTCATCATCCATATAACTTTAAATACCTGTCATTTCCTGGGCAGTCAGTACCAAATAATCTTTATTCCAAACCATTAACAAAGCAGCTGACTATTTCATTTCTTTAACTGCTGTGTGGTACTTCTAAGAAACTCTGGAGCATTCTTCAAATTCCATGAAAGGCATCTATGTAAAATGAAAAACCCACCTTCTCTAATAGGTTCCAAAAAGTTTGATTTATGTGACATTTCTCTGCACAAAGAATTTATAATGCTAATTTCTTTTACCTTCTGCTTAACTAACTTGCTGCTATTAAAAGACAGTGATGATAAGATTTTTCTGTAATTAAATAACATGTCGTCCTCTGGTAATCTGAATGCCAAGCACTGTTTTCAAGTGATTAAGAACACATTCACCAACATATTTAGCCTAACATAAAATAAATAAGCGATTCCAAATCATACAAATGGCTAAGAATTATGACATTAGGGTTACCAATTAAATTAAAAAGTCCAGTTAAATATGGATTGCAAATTTCAAATTCCAAATTTGGAATATACTTAAAATTATTTATTATCTGAAATTCAAATTTAACTGGGCATTCTGTATTTTTATTTGCATATCTGGCAATTCTATTCTATGTGGGCCACCTAGTGTAAGACAATTTGCTGGCTTTCATGTTTTTTCCCCTAATCAAAGCACTTCTTTTGATTTTTCCCCTCGAGTTGAGATAAGTAATTTTCCAGCCAATATTTTCCTTATTAACACATCTCTTTGCTTTTAACAAAGTCAGGTTCCCACTACCAAATCTGTAGTCTATAGGACATACAATCTGAAGAGAACAACATTTTACCTACCTGTGGGTAATATATGAGAAGTCCACATAATAAAATATTTCTTTCTTTCACTTCCTTTGCTAGTTCCCTAATCTGCATTAGGTTTTCCATTTTATGATCAAAATGTACTGATTTATAATCAAGAAAATGCACCTGAAAAATAAAATAAAAATTAACAATTAGAATACTTTTTCTTCGCTTTTCTTTGAATATGTAACATTAAAGAAACTAAAATTATAATATTATTTTTATCAATTTGTGTTAATTTGTAGTTAAGCATTCCAAGCCATAAATATTTAATATGATTAATGAATCATCCTTTATAAATACAGATGCAGTAAACACTCAGAGAATAAAATGCTGAAAAACATAAAGTGCTAATATTGTTTCAACTTGTGACAGAGTTAAATGTATAAAAATATGATCATACCAATTCACTCAACTTAAATCATAATTTGTAATTTGAAACTAGGCAGAAGGTAAATATTTATAAATATATGTTAAATGAACAATATCAATAAAATTCAAGTATGCTTACTTAAGTACATGAAGTTCTTTAGAAGAATCTAATTCAAAGTAATTAATTGGATATCTAACAAATAATAAACTATTTCTTAAATTTAAAGGAAACTTATACAGAATTATTTTTAGCAGTGTTAAAATAACATTTTCTTGAAATTATTCAAACAACTTTTATAAACATTATTTTTAATTTAAAATTTAAGGACAGTGTGATCTTTCATAATTTCTCTAAATTATTGTGGTTTTATAGCACTATTTTTCTTTTATAGAATATAAAAGACATGAAGGCTTAAAATAAATAATTTAAAATGCAAGTGCATATACAGAATGATCATTCAGAAATAGGTATATTCTTTCACATTACCAAATTATCAAAACTTTCAAGGATTGCAATTTGTTCATTTATGTACATTTATTGATTAGAAAAATTTTAAAGTATACTCCACCCTTACTCTCTCCTACTAATCCCTTCCCTTTGTCTCTGCTCATACTAGAGGTCCAGTGCACGAATTTGTGCATGAGTGGGATCCAGCCAGCCTGGACCCAATAGGGGTGGATCAGGCTGGGCCTGCCAGGAGGAAGAAACGGCAGGACAGGAGATTGGCCAGCCAGCCTGCCCTGATCAGAGCCCAAACAGGGCTGGGCCAGCTGGGGGGAGGGGCCACAGGTGCCTGGCTGGCAAGGCCCGCCCCCAACTGGGGTGGGGTGGGGCCAATCGGTGGCAGGGCTGGCTGTGGGGAGGGGCTGTGGGTGGTGGGCTGGCCAGCCTGCCCCTGAATGGGTTGGGGGGCGATTGGAGGTCAGCAGCAGGGGAGGGACCATGGGAGGTTGGCTGGCCAGGCCCACCCCTGATTGGTGTGGGGGTGGGCAATCAGGGGCAGAGCTGGCTGAGGGGACAGACCGCGGGGTGATCAGGATGGGAGAGGCTGATCAGGGGTGGAGCCAGGTGGGGGGAGGGGCCACAGGAGATTGGCTTGCTGGACCCACCCCCTGATCAAGCCCGTTCGCTGGCTGCAGTGGGTGATATAGGGACTGGTCATTCCGTCGTTATGGCATTCTGGTTGCCATATATATGTAGATACACTGTTTTAGAAAAATGAAACAACAAAACATCTTATCATGTTCTTTCTGTAACACAGAGAATAATGTTTTAGCAATGACAAACATACAAATGACTGAATTATAAAAACATAATTTCCAAATCGATAAACATAGAAGGATGTTTTACCACATTTCTCTGAGAAACTAATATATCAATCAAACAAAAATGAATGGTATAAAGGCTTCTTGCATTCAGTGCAGCAACTGAGTTGAGGGTTTTTCATGTTTCCTCCCAAGTTTTAATTCTATTGCTGTTTTTCTGGCTGTTCTTATCTAGGAAAAGTTACATATGAGCTGATGCCACTTCCACATTATATGGACCTAACTCCTTTCTTTATCAATCACATATAAATTAATTTTTCTTATACAGATTTGTGCTGTAGCAAAAACAGATAGGTTGAACTGAAGGACATAGTACCATGTTTTTTTGTCAGCTTTTTAAAAGAATTTTTATTGATTGTTAGAGAGGAAGAAAGAGGGAGAGAGAAAAAGAAAAAACAAAAAAATCATCAATATGAGAGGGAAACATCCATTGGCTGCTTCTTGCAGGCTCCCAACTGGGGACCGAGCTAGAAACTTGGGCATGTGCCCTGACAGGGAATCGAACCCACAACCCTTCAGTGCATGGCACAACACTCCAACCAACTGAGCCACACCGGACAGGGTATTTTTATTGTACCATGGTTTTTAAAAGTTGCCACCAAATCATGAGATATCTAAACAGGACTGGAATACTTTCACTCCAGCTATAGATGGTAAGAAACAACAAACACAAGCTCCTTGGAAAAAAAGAAATGTAACAACACTTTTAAAAAAATCAGTAGGCCAGCCGAAACCGGTTTGGCTCAGTGGATAGAGCGTTGGCTTGCGGACTGAAAGGTCCCAGGTTCGATTCCGGTCAAGGGCATGTACCTGGGTTGCGGGCACATCCCCAGTGGGAGATGTGCAGGAGGCAGCTGATCGATGTTTCTCTCTCATCGATGTTTCTAGCTCTCTATCTCTCTCCCTTCCTCTCTGTAAAAAATCAATAAAATATATATTTTTTTAAAAATCAGTAGGCCAATGCTGTTCACCACACAGTGCATGAATTCAATTAAGGAAATGGTGCATAAAAGTGAGTTCCAGGCAAGCTATTTATACATCTACAAACTGCCTATGTTATCCCATCAAGCCAAGTATGTACTTAAGTTATAGGGAAACTCAAGGCATGTAGTAATAGAACATAGAAGATTAATGCAGATCCTATACTTGAGTAATTATTAGATGCTGAACATTGTGCTAGTTGGCATAATTAAATTTTAAAGAAACAGATATGGATATTGACTTATAAAATGTATACTCAGATTGAAGAACTAGGATGCATCTCCAAGTTCTCTTTTGCCAGAAGCGTAGGCCTAATGACATGAAAAGCATAAGATAATTTCCAGCAGGTGTACTTCCTACTACCAATCCCATGAAACCTGAGCATATACTTTTCATTGTGCTACTAATTTTGAAGCTCTAAAATATAGCAGCTACTTATCAGTTCCAGGAAAACTTTCAGCTGATACAAGAACACAATCAATTTTAATTTTAAAAACTGGGCAGGTTTATATGACTACAGCAGAGGGTTACAAAATGATCATAATAACTCAAGAGAAATGTAAATGTTTTTGCCTTAATAAAACAAACTTACAGCCTGGACAGGCTTACATCCATTGAAATAGAGCAAAACATTTCATTTGGTTGAGTTCTTTGATCTCTTTCTGCACTGTTCACTTATTTGCTACATGTAAATTGCTGTAAAAACAATTTTTCCCATTTAGGATGCCATTTTCATGCATACATAAATAAAGATAAGGATCTCTTCCTATCCCCCACCCAAATGTATATATTTTTTTAAAGGTAGCAATTCACTCCTATAAACTAGTAAATTGCTTAAACATATAACATGTGGGTAGCTTCATAGCTTTGTGGGTGGGCCAGGTTTCCACTCACAAAGTTTGGAAAAAAGATTCTCTGGGCCTCCTATCTTCTACATTCAGTCGTACACATGCTTTCTATTTCCAGCAACCATTTAATATGTTCCTGGTCCCAGAGGAATTCCAATTGATTTTTTATACTTTAAAATGTGATTTTTTTCACTTGTCTCTGAGGACAGGTACATTAAATAAAGACAATAATTAACATCACATACAATATTCTTAAAAACATTAGGAATGTTCCATAAACCCGCATGTAATACTTCTCTCATTCCAGAGTCCATGTTCACGCGAAGGCCTGAAAATGGGGTCAGGATTCTCGATAGGAGGGAAAATGGACTCTTTGTTTATTTGACAAAGAAAGTAAATTTGTGAAGCATAAATATATATTCAAATAATGCATTGCTTAATGCCCACCAAAGTGGAAGGAAGGACAGTCAAAATGAAAGTTCTGGTAATTATCAAATAATTGAATTAGAATGAATCGGTAGATAGAACAGAGGTCCTCTGAATCCACACAATAGATACTGCAAAATTATCTACATATGTGTACAGAAAAGTAAATTGTATGAATTAGGCCCAACATCTTCAAAACAGAAGTTTTCAAAGAAATAGGAGGGAAATCTAATAACCGATGAAACGGGCCAGTACTAAGCAGATCAAAGTAAGAGTTCATCTTAAGGATTAGAAAACATTAGAAAAACTTTCATCTCACTTCAACTATTTATAAATTACATGGGTTCTATTAATGAAAATTGCTTTAATTTAATGAATTGTGCTTTTAAAAAGAAAAAAAGAACAAGCTTTCAATATTGAATCACTGCATTTTAGAACAAATTTAAATTAATGCCATCAAGAAATTCAACTCATACTTCTGATGAATAGAAACTCATTAAGTTATAAGCTATCATGGAAACTCAGAGCAAATGCTTAACAACCCATTTGTAAATCTTAACAGAATAAAATGCCACCAAAACTAGTAGACTGAAAAATAATGACATGTAACAAAAGGTAGGAAATAAAATAAATGTACTTTGCATAAATTATTAACCACACAAAAGATTTACATGTTTCTATTTTTCCAAAGAATTAAAAATAAATGAGTTTTATATCAGTACAAATGTTACATTTGTGTACACTTTTTTCAAATCTTATTTAAAAGATCAAAGAAGTAATGAACCCAAAACTTCACATTTTAAATAGTCAATAGAAAAAACTAACATTACTTTAAAAGATGTTTTAAAAAACAAACTGAACATTTTTTTCAGTTACTCTAATAGTGATTTCTCCTATAAGAACATAACTTTGCCACTGCTGTATTATGGCACAATTATCTGAAGGATTACATACATCTACAACTAACATCTTTGCTATCCATAAAATTTTTCAGAATAAAAAGTTTAAAGCAATCCATTGATTAATATGAAGCCTAGATTTGTTTAGCTAACCTTATTTTTAAAATATAACTATATTTATTTACTAACTTTTCTCTGAACAAACATCAATCAAAACCAACTTAAAAGTGAAAAAGATATTAAAATTAATAGAAAATGACATTAAGATCATTTA